ACGCAGGTACCAGAAGGGTAAGTGGGGAGGAAATTGAGGGAGGAAATGGACGGATAATTCTTTCCCCTCCAGTCACTTCCTTTTGCGCTGGTATCGGAGGCTGGGCTGAGGCCAAATCAAAATCCCACCAAAGAGGTCCTTTCTAAAACAGACTGGAGTCGTATGTTCCACTTTGTAGAGCTTAACTCTTGTATGCCTGCTTTTAAAGACCTGTGTAGCAGTTTCAGTGCACTGGCACAGACAAGCGGGTCTGCTCTCTTGCAGGACTCCCTTCCCCTAGGAACGCCTCTGAGCCTAAGCATTATTTAGTTCAAAAAAAGCAAAATCCACTAGGGAAAGCGCCATCAAAGAATGCCAAAATATATAAGCTCTATTTAACAATTATAAAGTTGGTGGTGCCACAACATCAAGGTAAAGGTAAAGGTTCCCTTGCTCGAAAGCCAGTCGAATCCGACTCTAGGGTTGCGGTGCTCATCTCTGTTTCAAAGCCGAAGAGCCAGCGCTGTCCGAAGACGTTTTCGTGGTCATTTGGCCGGCATGACTAAACACCAAGGCGCACGGAACGCTGTTACCTTCCCACTGAAGTGGTACCTATTTATCTACTTGCAATGTCTTGCTTTCAAACTGCTAGGTTGGCAGGAGCTGGAACTAGAGATGGGAGCTCACTCCGTCATGCGGCAACTTGGGTCTCGAACTGCTGAACTACCGACCTTCCACAGCCTGCAGTTCAGTGTCTTAACCACTTGAGCCACCGTAGCTCCTAACATTAAAGTAAGTGCAAGCGAATGCAATAAACAAGGCATAGAGTACAAAGTTTCCTTAAAAGATAGATAGTAGTCCATTCAACACAGTAGGAGGAATCCACATTTTCAAAACATTTTCAAAAACAGCCTTCGCAAAAACGCCCATTCCAGATACTTAAAGGAGACGTTTCCATCAACTTCTTCAGTTTGCTGGCTGCGTAGCTGGAACCCAATTTCAACCATTTCTCCTGACAAGGTTCATAGTGTGAAGAGCGTTTTTGCGAATGCTGTTTTTGAAAACGTGGGTTCCTCCTACTGAGTTGAATGGACTACATGGACTACTATTTATCTTTTAAGGAGGAAACATTGTACTCTATGCCTTGTTTATTGTATTAGTATGCACTTTGATGGGTCGCGAAGAGTCGGACTCGACTGTGCGCCTGAACAACAACTTTAATATTGTGGCACCACCAACTTTATAATTGTTAAACAGAGTTTATATATTTTGGCAGGGGTCATTTCGTAGAAAAAGAGGTGCAGGTGCTCATTAGCATAACTTATTTGCATATGCCACACACCCTGACATCACCGGAAGTGTGTCAGAAGGCAACCCCCACCGCTCAGGCTCTACTGGACTGTTTTGGATTGCTAGCTATTGGGGGGGGGGCATGCAGATCTGTCCTCGCAGAGGAGGGAGAGCTTGTACCTGAATAAAACTTGGTCTTAAAGGTGCCACTGGACTGTTTTGGACCGGGGGGCGGGGGTAGGGCTCTGCAATTAACCTGGCTGCTTCTTGCTCTGATTGAGGGCTGCTGGGAGCAGGGGGCAGGGCTTGTTGCATGTGCCCACCCCCTGGGCTCTTTACTGCCGGAGCTCCGTTCCTGTGCGCTCCTGCAGGAAATGACCCCTGTATTTTGGCATTCTTTGATGGTATTTTTCCTAGTGGATTTTGCTTTTTTAAAAAAATCTTTCTGACGCTAGGCTTTTCCATCTTTTTTGGTTTATAAGTATTATTTGGAGCTCCTGCAGGAAATGACCCCTGTTAATTTTGGCATTCTTTGATGGTGTTTTCCTAGAGGATTTTGCTTTTTTTTTTTTAATCTTTCTGACGCTAGGCTTTTTTATCTTTTTTGGTTTATAAGTATTATTTGGAGCTGCTGAAGGCAGATCTGGTGAGCCACAGGTAGCTTCAGCAGTGTGGTGTGCCGGCACTGTCGTCTCACGCAGCCGAACCAGAAGCGGCCTTTCCCACAGCTCCCTGGTTTTTAGAAACCCCAACCAAGGGTGTGTGTGGATCTGATTCAGATAAGGACTGTAGTAGGGGTCCACCAAGGCACCTGCCAAGTGTTTAGAAAGCAGGGCGGGGGTCACCCCAGCGAGGCTCCCTATTGGCTTTTAAAAATATTGCTTTGGTGGCAGCTGCCACCACGGCACAAAGCTCTTGACCGTGTGACTGGAAGTAAGTTGCGGCAGCCATTTTGTGACTGTGCCCTGCCCGCCATGTTGTGCCAGAATTCCAATGGTGCCCTCAGGCTCAAAAGGGCCGAGGACCCCTGGAATATGGCACACAGTTTGGGGGGCGGGGGTGTCGGAGCGCCATCTTTTTATACCCTTTTCCTGATCAAAAGCAGCGCTGGGAAGCTGCTGTGTGTTCTAATGAGGGTTTTACATGTAACGCTGGTTCAGGAAGAGCCATTAACTCCCTTCCCCACGACACCAGATTTCAAGTTGTCATTATTTGTATAGGGTATTGCATACGCCTTTATTCCAAATCTGACCCTGTAAGATTATTAGCGTGTATACAGAACTCTTGCCCTAAAATAGATGGTCCTGGCTAGGGCTGATGTCATCAGCTCGCAGAAGCGAAGCAGGGCTCGTCCTGCTTAGGACTTGGATGGGAAATCGCCAAGGAACTCCAGGGTCGCTATGCAGAGGCAGGAAAACGGCAAACCCCCTCCTGTTTGTCTACCCTGACCTGGATGGCCCAGGCCAGGCCAATCTTTTCAGATCTCAGAAGCTAAGCAGGGCCGGCCCTGGTTCAGACTTGGATGGGAGACCACCAAGGAAGTCCAGGGTTGCTACGCAGAGGCAGGCAATGGCTGATTAGGCCAGGCTACCCCGATCTCGTCAGATCTCGGAAGCGAAGCAGGGTCAGCCCTGATTAGGAACTGAACGGGAGACCACCGAAGGAAGTCCAGGGTTGCTGTGCAGAGGCAGGCAATGGCAAACCACCCCTCTCAACGTCTCCTGCCTCGGAACCCTACAGGGTGGCCGTAAGTCAGCTGCGACTCGCTGGAATGCGATTATTACGCCCTGAGCTGGATGGCTCAGGCTAGCCAAGCAGGGTCAGCCCTGGGTTTGTACCACCAAGGAGATCCAGGGTCGCTGGGCAGAGGCAGGCAAGGGCAAACTGTTAGCCTCCTGCCTCGAAAACCCTACGGGGTCACCGTAAGTCAGCTGCAACTTGATGTCACCTTATGGACATACCCGACAATCACATTTTCCTCCTGTTCGTCCTGTTATCGTCGGCTTGGAACCCTGCAGGGCTATTTTTGGGCAGGAACGCACAGGAGCGGCGTTCCGGCTGGCTCCCGAGTTGGCCACGCCCAGCAGGAGCTCATTAGCATAATAGGCCACACCCAACAGCAGAAACTCATTCGGATTGGCTACATTAGGGGTGTGTGGCCTAACATGCAAAGGGGTTCCTGCTCCAAAAAAAACCCCTGGGTTTTGACAACAAACAAGGTAAACAGAATAAGAAGCAAAAGGTGGGTGTGGCTGGGGGAGCACACTTCTGGTAACACAGGGGTGTGGCCTCATAGGCTAATGAGCTGTGTAGCCAATTATGCTAATGAGTTCCTGCATAATTGGGTGTAGCCAATTATGCTAATGAGTTCCTGCTGGGCTTTTTCTT